GCTCAAAAAAAAAATAAGACCCGGCCTTATTATATGAGAAACACAGTATTGGTCCCCAAAGATACAGAACCAGCTTTCTTAGTTTTGCACTACATTACATCATAATCTTCCGTAAGCAAAGAAATAACACTCTGCAAATACGTGGCAGCAATAGTTTTAGATGCCCTCAGAGGAAAACCCTTGGGATGGGGGAAATTTTCCACTTATGGCTCTGAACAGCATATGCATATTGCAGAACTTGAAAAGATGTACTTTAAGCACATAGCACTGATGTACATGCTAAAATATGTATGAAATTGCTCGTGCCCATAATAAAAAATATAACTGTTAATGTATGACTAGGCTTCGTCTTTATAGCACTCAACTGATCGTTTTAATCAGATTTTTTTTTACATCTTCCCTGAACATTTCAATCAGAATCTATCAGAACAGAACTGAAAGGGACCTTGGAGGTCTTCTAGTCCAGCCTCCGATTCAAGCAGGAGACTCTACCCCTAGGGTCTTCAAACTTGGCAAGTTTAAGACTTGTGGACTTCAACTCCCAGAATTCCTGAGCTAACATGACTGGAGGAGGAATCCAGGTGTGGCCTTACTAAGGTTTTATAAAGCTATACTTATAGTTCATGCAATCTTGATTCTATGCCTCTGTTTATATAACCAAGGATTGCACTAGCTTTTTGGGCTGCCGCCCCAGTTTATATACAACATTTGGAGAATATTGTATACCAACTTTCTTTGAAGAAAGACAATTATTGGTCACAGCTCCCAGACTACCAGATCAAGAGTCTTTTGGTGCAGGTGGACAATGAGAGATAGCTAATACCCCATCAGATACAATTACTATTGTCTCGCAAACCTCTGGTTTAGGCAGACTAGCTCCTAGTACCCATCTGACAAGAAATATCTTCCTGTAAAAGAGACCTCAAAAGTGATTGGAGGTTCACGTCAGCTTGTATATCATAAATTCAATATATGTCTTTTTAGTTTTGTAATTTGGTTTATCATTGTAAGAAATAAGTAAATTCAAAAATAAAATGGTATATAAGGTGCTTAAAGGTTTCACAAAATAGGGGTTGGACTGGATGACCTGCAGGAAAAATGGTAGTATAAGATCAATCTTTAAAATTGTATCTTCGGAAATTAGAAAGAGGCTCTGATGAGGGGATGCTACATTCCTTAACACTAAGGAAAGATGCCACGTGGGCAGCCAAAGTGTGAGGTACAGAGGGGTACGGATGAGAACTTAACAGAAGGAGAATTCTCCCTGGAGACATTCTGGGATTAGTTGCAACACCTGAGGGCAAATCCAATGAACTTGAACTTGGGAGGGAATAAGTCTCAAGAAGGAGGAAACTTGGGTGACAAGATAAAACTGTATATAAAGTATGATTTGAGGTTCTAAAGATGTGGCTTTTGATTCTGAACCTGCTTGTTGAGGTTCTAAAGACCACCGACACTTAGCAAATTGTCTTGTTATTTCTTTTTAATAAATCCTCTTTGTTTTCAACAATCCAAGGTTTTTTTTGTTGGCTTTATTTCCAACATCATCATTATCTAAGATACTGGACATACCCATACCTAATCCACCAGTTATGTCAGTTGTCCACCTGATTCCTATATGTAAGTCCTGAATAATGAAGTAGGACCTAAGCATTGTTATTTTCTTCACTATGTGTCACGCTGATTTCTACACTTTCCTCTCCCATATATTCCATTAATAAAAGATCTTCTAATTTGGAATGGAAAATTATTTATGACATTTGCAGTGTCCTGGGGTCGTGTGACCACCTTTTGTGACCTTCTGACAAGCAAAGTCAACGGGGAGGCCAGATTCACTTCACAACCGTCTTGCTAACTTAACAACTGCAGTGATTCACTTAACAACGGTGGGGTGGCAAGAAAGATAAAATGGGGCAAAACTCATTTAGCAACTGCTTTGCTTAGCAATAGAAATGTTGGGCTCCATTGAGGTCGTAAGTCAAGGACCTGTATACATCTCGTCTGTGTTCTGACCTAGGCTTCCCAAAATCATGAAGCAGACTCCTCGTCCCTTTTATTTAGGCTAAAGTGAACTCCGCTCATTCACATCCAGCAAAGTCCTGGCCAACAGACTTTCAAGAGATTTTACAACTACAGACCTTCATCAGGCTTGGAGAGTTGCCAGGCCGATATCTTCCAAACGCCACACTGTAGCAGCAATTACTTGGCAAGGAGTCAGGAGCAGATCTTCACTCTAATGAATTGAACTAATTGTCTCCTGCAAACACCACTCCCCTTTCACTCCTCTTTATCCCCTGTGGGAGGGGCCATTTACTGTCCACCTCAGTCTTCCCGAGTCGACCCTTGTTCCTTAACTGTTCCCTTCTCCTGGCAGCTCTGTGCATGTGCACACTGGGAACAGGCTCCAGCTGTTCTTCTGCCTCATTGATGTCCGACTCCGAAGGCAGCTGATAACTGTCAGACAGCCCTGGCCCCATCTCTGTCTCGGACACAGAGCCCTCGTCAGAGCCTTCCCCAGACTCCAGGACTGGCCCATGTTCCTCCCCAACCTCCTCCCTGTCCGAGTCTGCCAGCTGGCGGGCCACAGCACTCTGATAGCAACAGCTCCTGTTCTTCCTTAAGGATCTTTTCCACCTTCTCTCCCATCCTTTTAATATGGCAATGCTGGTCTCAACCAGGGTTCCTCTGTAGTAGATACATTGTGTTTAATCACTGTCTTTGAACACTCCCTCATCACAGCAGAAGCTGGATCACAAATGAAGCCCGTGTCATGGAAATAACTGCATTGGATAACCTACCTTCCTCTGCACTACAAAACCCACAAGCCCCGGTCACCAAACATCAGGAGTTAAAACATTGAAAGAATTGTACTTCATACGTCCGGGTTGCACTAGAAATGGGTAACCTGCCATCAGAATATTATCATCTCAGCATTTGGACAATTGCAGCTGACAATGCTGCCTTGGACCTCTGAAGGAAATACAGGTAAGTGTTCAGACCCAAATCTTGTTCCAAGTAAACAAACACCAAACAGAGATAAAAGCAAAACCTTTCAATGCTTCTCTGCGTATTCTGTTAATTCACGGTTAAAAGGCTATTAAAACGAATTGTCTCTGATAAGAATGAGCCTTGCCAAGGTTGTGCAAGGCTGCCAAAAAACACTAGATAAGTTGCCAAAAAATATTCCAAACAAAAAGTCTTCAAACGCAAACCCAGATAGTCCGAACTTCCGCAAGGCTTGAAGTGCAAGAACTTCTTTGCTTCCTGCAAAGAATACCGGTCTCTCAGGCTGGCTTTTATCTCTTAAGGGAGGGGCCATTACCTTGCAGCCTTACTCCCGAGTCACCCGTGCTGCTGCAGCTGCTCTTTCCTTTGAAAGCCTGGGCACAGGCTCCTCAGTGTCCTCTTCATCACTGCTGCCAGCCTCCACAATCTCCGAAGGCAGCACTCCATTCCCTGATGTATTCTGTCCCAGCCGAAGTTTCCGAAAGCAAACACAGATAAACTCCAAAACTGAAATGTTCACGGCTTTATTACACAAATAACCCTCTTTGTAGATAACAGATGGTTTGCAGCCAACTAGTCCAATAAATCAGAGTCTGTAATCATCACACTAACTCCTTTGAACTTTTGCCTTTTGCAAAGGCAAAAAGCCATCTGAAACCAGACTTATATTCCCTAGAGGGAGGGGCCATTAATTACAATTCTTACTCCCGAGTCACCTGTGCTGCTCTTCCATGAATCATCTTACTCTCACTCACACCCAGCACAGGCTTCTCGGGAACATCCACCTGATTGCTGCTGGCGAACCACTCCCTGATGGTCCTGGCCCCATCCCTACATCACATGCAGGCCCCTCATCTGAGTCCTCGCTCTCCGAGACCTCAGTCATCCACACCTGCTGCTGGCGAACCACAATAGGTAGCCCTCGACTTAGCCCAGCATTTATGCTAAGTGAAACATTTGCTAAGTGAGTTTTGCCCCCATTTAACAATTTTTCTTGCCACATTTGTTAAACGCATCACTGCAATTGTAAAAATTAGGAACCCTGGTTGTTAAAGTGAATCTGGCTTCTCCCTTGATTTTGCTTGTCAGAAAGTCACAAAAAGATGACCCCGGGACCCTTAGAGCTGTCATAAATAGGAGTCCTTTGTCAGGCATCCGAGTGTAAATCATGTGACCATGGGGATACTGCAATGGTCATAAGTGTGAAAAACAGTCCTGAGTCACTTTTTTCAGTGCTGTTGGAACAGATGCTAAATGAACAGTTTTAAGTCAAGGGCTACCTGCATGGGATATAAGTTAACAAACAAACGAAATCAAAAGGCTGCTGGATTGTGATGTTGAGACGGGACTAATGCTAGCAAAATTCATTAGAGCCCAAGCACAAGAGGGTCCAAGAAGCAGAAACCCAAAACAATCCCCTTCTGGATCCAGATCTTTCACCAATTGTTAACTGATGTCACTGGGTTGCTCTACCCCTGTGATGGCGAACCTATGGCACGTGCCACAGGTGGCACGCAAAGCCATTTGTGCCAGCATGTGAGCTGCAGGCAAACTTACCTCAGTGCGCGTGTGCGCGCCTCACAGCTGATTTTCGGTGTGTTTGAGGCGTATTTCGTCCTCCCAAAGGCTTGAGGAAGGCCTCTGTCAGGCTTCCACAAGCTTTGTAGGCCAAAATCTAGCCCTGTTTCATCACTTCCGTTTTTTTTGTGCATTGCCTTCTGGGTGCTGCTGGCACGCGAGTGCAAGCATGCAAGCGCCCGCACAATTTTTGGCACAGGAGCCCCAAAAGGTTAGCCGCCACTGCTCTACCTCATTGAGGACTAGAAACATGTTTGTGTGCATTGTTTTTAAGCCCATTGTCCTCAGGTGTCCAGATTTCTCAGCAGAAATGTAATTTGTTGGCTCCGAGAAGTACAAGCACTGCAAAACAAAACAAAAAAACCCACGGATATTGTTCAAAACAATCTGTGTTTTGTGCCAGGAGAAAGTCTTACCTCATAGACTGTGAACTGGTTTTGGGCGCGAGAGAGTTCCCGATAGCTTGTGGCAAATTCTCCGATGAAATCATGGCTGCCGAGACAATAAGAAAGAAGTCGCATTAACGCTTCGCCGTTGAGGTAGCTTAAACCTGGATTGAGTGAGTGTATGAATAACCGGGTCTTTTGAATATCCCACCTCTTGCTGTGAAGAACCGAGGATATTTAATGACTCCACCCACCCAATTCTCTTAATCCTCTTTGCCCCACAGTGGGTAATGGAGCAGATGGAGATGGTAGAGGGACTTGTACTGCTTTAAACTTCAGGTGTGGGGGGGAGAGGGGGGGAGTGGATTTTGAGGGCTTTGTATTTGAGTCCAAAAGCCCAAATTCGGTAAGAAGGAAATAACCAAAGCACAGAGTTTGCAGAGCAAAAGCCTGCTTTCTCTTTCTCTGCTCTCTTCAGATTTCATCCATAACTAATTTTTCTTTGTACAGCACTGAAAAAGGACCTCTCCCATTGGCTGCCCATAGGACCATCACTCGTGTTACCACCTTATCATGCAGCATTCAATGAATGAATGAATCAATCAACCAATGGAACAGTTGGCAGTTGTGGGAGCTTCATCACTTGAGACTTTCAAGAAGAGATTGGACTCCCATCTGTCAGAAATGGTGTAGGGTCTCCCGCTTGGGCGGGGGTTGGACTAGATGACCTACAAGGTCCCTTCCAACTCTGATAACCTGTAATCATCATCATCATCATCTGTAATCAAGCATTCACTGATCCCAGCATCAAACAAACAGGGGTTGCTCAAATCAGGGATTGTGAGAGGGAGGACAAGAGATAAATATGGATTGTCTGAAGCGTACGGTGCGACCTCTGAGGTAACTTCAGGGCCACGGCTATTCAATTTTTTTTTATAACAATACAGGATCAGTTCCCATTATAGCTAGTCTTCACCTGGCAACCACAATTAGGATCAACAACTCTATTGTTAAGTGCCTTGGTTGCTAAGTGGAAAATCACATGATCAAAATGGGCTTCCAATATTTCCCATTTGGTCATTAAGTGAGCGATCACGTGACCGGTGCCTTGAGATTTTACTTACACGTATTTCATTAACTCTGCTTGCCAGAAGCCAATGGTGAAGCACCAATGGTGAAGTTCCTAGTCGAACCACAGACAATTACAATGATCTAATACATATCGATTTTACAGAAGACATTGTTGAAAAAGCACTGCGCAATCTAAAACCATCCCTATCTATTGGACCGGACAGAATATGTGCCTACTTCTTAAAAAAGCTATCCGCTGCCATAGCCAAACCTCTAAGCATAATCTTTGAAAAATCTTTCAGGACCAGCTCCTTGCCAAAACTATGGTCACAAGCCATGGTCATCCCCATCTTCAAAAAGGGAGACCCCAGCCTAGTTGAAAATTACAGACCAATCTCTTTATGCTGCGTCACCTGTAAAGTCATGGAATCAATTATTAACCAATCCATTATCTTCCACTTAGAGACAAACAACCTACCCTCTAATAAACAATTTGGTTTCAGAAAAAAACTATCCTGCAATCTGCAACTCTTACACTGCAAAAACATATGGACTACACAACTCGATCAGGGCAAAACAATAGACGCAATCTACATACACTTTTGTAAAGCCTTTGATTCAGTGGTACACAACAAACTACTACTAAAACTAAAATCTTATGGTATCTCTGGACATCTATATAACTGGATAGAAGCATTCCTGTCAAACAGACAACAAATGGTCAAAATTGGGAGCGTCCTATCAAATTCTGTACCTGTCAACAGTGGTGTCCCCCAAGGCAGTGTTTTAGGACCAACTCTTTTCATACTCTACATAAATGACCTCTGTGATCATATTAAGAGCAACTGCGTTCTCTTTGCTGATGATGTAAAGCTATTGAACACCACAGACAACACTGCTACTCTTCAAAAAGATCTTGACTATGTATCAGAATGGCCAACGGTCAATCAAATGGCGAAGTTGCCAAATCTCAACAAATAAATGCTTTGTCTTACATATTGGCAGAAAAAAATCAGAAAATAAAATACAAGTTAAATAGTCAAGACCTTGTTGAGGATCCAAACTTTGTCAAGGACCTTGGAGTACTCATCTCAAATGATCTAAGTGCTAGAGCCCACGGTAACTATATAGCCAAAAAGGCATTAAGAGTTGTTAATCTAATCCTACATAGCTTCTTCTCTGGTAATATCACACTACTAACTAGGGCATACAAAACATTTGCTAGACCTATACTTGAATACAGCTCATCAGTCTGGAACCCATATCATGTATCTGATATTAACACAATTGAAAAAGTCCAGAAATATTTCACAAGAAGAGTTCTCCGCTCCTCTACTCGTTGTAGAATACCTTATGCCACCAGACTTGAAACTCTAGACATAGAAAACCTAGAACTACGCCACCTCCAGTCAGATCTAAATATAGTATATAAAATCATACATTGTAATGTCCTACCTGTCAATGAATCCTTCAGCTTCAACCATAACAACACAAGAGCACACAATAGATACAAACTCAAGGCTAACCACACCAAACTTGATTGCAGAAAATACGACTTCAGCAACAGAGTGGTCAATGTTTGGAATACTCTACCTGACTCTGTGGTTTCTTCCCCAAACCCCAAAAACTTTAAACTTAGACTGTCTACTTTTGACCTCACCCCCTTCCTAAGAGGCCTGTAGGGGGCGTGCATAAGCACACCAATCGTGCCTACCGTCCCTGTCCTATTGTTTTTTTTATTTTTCTCATGTATTCAAAACTATATTTATTCTTATACCTGTATCTTGTAAGCGATTGACAAATCAAATAAATACTAAAAATGAATGGCCACACAATTGTAAATGTCTGCCAGTTGAAAAGTGCCAGAGTGATGATCATTTGACCAAGGGATGCTGCAACAGCCATAAATGCAATGACTGGTTGCAAAGCTGTTTTATTTCTATATTTGCAACTTCAGCCATTAAATGAGGCAGTTGGTAAGTGAAGACTACCTGTACCTTCTTTTGGCATGTTATTTTGACTTTCTACAGCCATGTTGACAGTGGTGGGATTCAATTTTTTTGTACTACTGGTTCTGTGGGCATGGTTTGGTGGGCATGCAGAGGTGGTATTCAGCAGGTTCTGACCAGTTCGGGAGAACCGGTAGTGGACATTTTGAGTAGTTCGGAGAACCAGCAAATACCACCTCTGACTGGCGATTTTACAGTATCCTTCCCCTGCCACGGTAGTAAAAAAAATTGAACCCACCACTGTGGGCATGGCAGGGGAAGGATACTGTAAAATCTCCAGTCAGAGGTGGTATTTGCCAGTTCTCTGAACTACTCAAAATATCCCACCCAAGTCCTGTCCAAATCTGATCCACTTTTTTCTAATCGCATGTAATTTTCTTGTCAACAGAAAGAAAATCCTTTTCCAATTATCATCTTTTATTTTAACTTCCTAATCTACATACAGGCTCTTGATAATCTCCCATTCACAAAATTACCAAATCAGCCTCATAAAATTAGCCGAAGTTTGCTATGAGCTCTGTTCTAGCTAAGAAGGCTTCAGAAAATCCTGGCAATTCTTTCTGCCAATCTTAGCTTCGGATTAGGAACAAATAATTTTGAAAAGAAAGGAAATAATGCTTTAAATTTGTTCTGTTCAAGCCAAGGGTTCAATCCTATACAAACACTTATTTAGATTTACATCTAAATAAGCACAAATGGACTTGCGCTATTCAATTAAAGTAAGACAAGTCACAAGAAATTTGACTTTTGGCTCCACTTCAAATAATATTGGCAAATAATATCTACGAAAACATTAATTGTCCTTTTGCTGGCAGCTGGTTGTGTGCAGAGTGAAAAGGATAAAGAGAGAGAAAGGGAGCATCAGAAAGTAAGAGGCCCTCACTCATTTTTAGCTGTAATGCCATCTGTGATTAGCATACAATACCCAGATAATTGTTTCTTGAATCTCTGGAATAAGAGAAAGGATTATAACAACTTTCCCCCATCATGATGCCCTCAAAAGAATTGGGCTACAATTTCATGTTGGATGAATTGATAAGAATTGTAATTTCACACTAAAGGAGAATATTTGTAGCTCTGGGCTGAAATGTGGGTTCCTTGGTACTGTCTGAGCTTGGTTGTTTTCTTGCAGACGTTTCCTTACCCAACTAGGTAACATCATCAGGGCTAGACTAGACTTGCACAGATGATATTACCTAGTTTGGGTAATGCAACGTCTGCAAGAAAACAACCAAGCTCAGAGAGCACCAAAGACCCCCTAAATTAATACTTCTGGGGAATCCAGGTTGGGGAAGGTGGTTTATAAAAACTGGTCTGTATTCTCACCTGCCATCCCGGTCCCAGTCATAGACGTCGATTTTCACGGTCCTAGAACGGAGGTAACAAGTAACAAGAGAAGGTGAGTTCCCAAACGAGGGTTTCAGCTTAGGAAAGCAAGAGGCCAAATGAAAAAGGGGATAGGGCATATGCTGTAGAGCAGGGGTCCCCAGGAGAATTCTGGGAGTTGAAATCCACAAGTCTTAAAGTTGCCAAGTTTGGAGACCTCTGCTGTAGAGTTTATGTCCATACTCGTTAAATTCCTTTAAGTGCCAGTCCATAATATGTAGAGCTTTCTTTTCACTCCTGAAAAACATGCCAGGAAATATACATCTTCCTGATACCATTAAAAATGTATGTATGTTCCATCTATATAGATAATTCTCGACTTACAATAGTTTGTTGAGTGATGGTTCAAAATTACAGTGGCACTGAAAAAAATGACTTATTTAGGACCATTTTTCACACTTACAATTGCTGCAGCGTCCCCAAGGTTCACTTAACAACTGTGACAAGAAAGTGATAAAGGTCATAGAATAGGACAAAACTCATTGAACATGTGTTTTGCTTTAGCAACAGAAATTTTGGCCTCCATTGTGGTCGTAAGTCGAGGACTACCTATACAACGCCCAGAGACACACACCCCCCATGAGGGGTTAAGAAGTTTGATATATAAATAAATGTAAATAAATAAATAAATGTATGTAAGTAAATAAACAAACAAACAAACAAATAATATCTTCTAGAATCTGGATCATTCCTTCACTCCTGGGAAATAGGCCAGGCAATATCAGTTCTTCCTTATGCCACTAAAAATGTATATGTTTTTCACCTATATCAGGGGTGGGTGTTAAACTCAATTTCATTGAGGGCTGCATCAGGGCTGTGGTTGACTTTGAGAGTGGGTGGGTGAGTGGGCGGGCGTGGCCGACAGGGTGGGCGTGGCTAGTTTGACACCACTCCCCAAGCCGCTGGCATGTTTCCTCTTTGCATTGGGTAGACCGGGCTGAATCCAGGCTGGCCTGCCTGATCTTTGCTTTTTGCATTGGCTAGACCAGGATGGCCCTGCAGGCTGGATCCGATCACATCATGGCAGAGGTGGTATTCAGGAGGTTCTGACCAGTTCTGGAGAACCGGTAGCGGAAACTTTGAGTAGTTCGGAGAACCGGCAAAGACCACTTCTGACTGGCCCCACCTCCGTCTATGCTCTGCCTCCCGAGTCCCAGCTGATTGGCTGGGTCTTCTTTGGTTGCCCTGCACAGGAGAATGGAGCTGGAAAGCAGGTTCATGGGGTGGGGAGGGAATGGGGATTTTACAGTATCCTTCCCCTGCCACACCCACCAAGCCACGCCCGCAGAACCGGTAGTAAAATTTTTTGAATCCCACCACTAATAGTGGGCCACATCCGGCCTGCAAGCCTTGAGTTTGACACCCCTGACCTATGTAGTCCTTTATACTGCTTGCTTTTGATAGATACCTATGGGAACCTGGATACTCTTTTCCCAGCTGAGGTACAGGTAGTCCTCGACACTTCATTTAGTGATGGTTCGAAGTTGCAACGTCACTGAAAAAACTGACTTATACAACCATTTTTCACACTTACGACTTTTGTAGCATCCCCACGATCACCTGATCAAAATTGAGATGCTTGGCAGCTGGTTCATATTTATGACGGTTGCAGTGTCCCAGGGGCTCACGTGATCCCCTTTTGCGACCTTCTGACAAGCAAAGTCAATGGGGAAGCCAGATTCATTTAACAACCGTGCGACTAATTTAGCAACTGGAGCGATTCACTTAACAAACATGGCAAAAAAAAAAAGTCGCAAAACGGGGCAAAACTCACTTAACAAATTTCTCACTTAACAACATAAATCTAGGGCTCATTGAGGACTACCTGTACTTCAATGGTTTTTAAACAGCCTTGAACCTTTTTGACCTGGAAACAGCATAAAAAATAGAAATCAAATTTCTCCTCCTCTTAATATTTTGGGTGCTCTGTCCTTTGCCAGCCTTTAGGCCCAAAGTATAGATATAAACCCTAACCTGTCATAGTCTCCATTGCACAAAGAGCGGACAGGAATTGAAAACGGTTGCCACACGGGATTCAGATTGTTCTTCACCACCTCTGTCTTGTGGCAGATGGTGAACCTGGAACCAGAGAGGAGTCATGGCAAAAGAGGGAAAGAGCGAACACGAAAGGAGAGCTAATGAGCTTTGAGGTGGTGTGGAGTAACATAATACAGCCTCCAGAGGTGTTGGATTGCAATGCAGTTGAGAATACAGTTCATCATGCTCAAGAGGATGAAAATTGTAGTCT